CTGTAGAAGTATTGAGGCCATGATCACCCAGCGCCAGCTGCAGTGATTGGGGCACGTGATAAGGATGCCCCCATGTCGACTGCCCCGCAGAGTGCTACACGGCCAGCTACATCATGGTCGACGTTCAGCTGGGGGGCCGAAGAAGCGATATAAGGATCAGATGAAGAATGATTACAGAACCGGCTTTACTGATAAGATGCGCGTTAAATATTGCATGCGATTTATCGTGCAGCCCTAGTCTGTTCCTAAAACCAGCAATCTAGAGTGAATCTACTCTGTAAAATCCCTCTACCCTCTGATCCATGAATTATTATGAAGGAAAAGGAAAGGTTTATATTTAATAAAAAATACAATGAGTAAATAAATAAATATAAAATCCTTAGCTTTTTTCTTCCCAAAATTATGCATTTTGATGTTATAAAATGTAACATTATTTGGTGTTTTCATTATATATATTTCTGGCAGTAGTAAGAGCTTCACTCTTGTTTTTGCTTAATATACCACTTGGATCAGGCATTTGTCATTTACTTCATAAATAGCACATGCTGTCTTCTCAACTATAACTTTCTATTATACACATAGGAGTTAACTGTTTAAAGTTTAGTACAGAGAGAAAGGGAGTCTTTTAGTAAAGTCTTTTTAATAGTCAACACAGTAACATTCATATATTGTGTGTTCAGGGTTTAAACGAGGCGACTCAGACAATCAAGGTCACATTTCGGTTGTTCTGGATAAATATACAAAGTAAAGTCATTCTTGAACATCACACAACACACTGCAGCATCAATTTAACGCAAGGCTTTAAGTTGCTTATTGCTTTAATGAAAATTGTATTGTAATAAATTAACTGATACACAATCCCAGTAAAATAAATAGACATATTGTCAGCAGTTATCAGTAAAATGAGAGTAATTTTAATTGTCCTTCAGATAAACTGCTATGAAATGAGCATGTGTTCCTTGATGAAATTAAAATATAATTCACATACTGTATGTACACTGATACATTTAGCTAAGTACTTATGCATATTTATACAAAATGTTTCAAACCAATTTTAAGAAGCATGTAGGACAAGATGAATATGAATATGTCAGCAGCTGGAACAATTACAGAAATCAATGAATTATAAAAATGAACAATAAATAAACATCTGCTTGAAATATTCAGTCTGTGGTTCCAGATTAACGTTTATCAGCACAAGTCCTGTGAATAAAACATAAATATTGTGATAATCATATTTTCCAGCAGGTTCTAAAGAGCCTGTTGAGCTTCAGTGGAAGTGAGATTTATCACGATTCATTTGATTAACTGCACCCTAATGCAGTTATTATAGATTAATGCTTCTACCTTGGTTTTTTCTCCTCGTGTGTTACTTCACGGTAGGGGAGTCTCATCCAGGACAGTTTAACGTCAGAGACCGGACTCAACCCCAGAGTGGACTGCAGCTAAAACACACCAACAGCTATTAAAGCAGGTTTCATTTAGCGTGACGTGAGTGAAAAAAGTTACGTGACATGTGGCCAAGTATGGTGACCCATACTCGGAATTAGTGCTCTGCATTTACCCATCCAAAGTGCACACACACAGCAGTGAACACACACACACACACACACACCGTGAACACACACCTGGAGCAGTGGGCAGCCATTTTTATGCTGCGGTGCCCGGGGAGCAGTTGGGGTTCGGTGCCTTGCTCAAGGGCACCTCAGTCATGGTATTGAAGGAGGGAGAGAGCGCTGTACATTCACTCCCCCCACCTACAATCCCTGCCAGTACGAGACTCGAACCCACAACCTTTGGGTTATGAGTCCGACTCTCTAACCATTAGGCCACGACTTCCCCTTCTAGTTATTTAGTGTAACTAGACTGGCCTCGTCATGCTTGTCATGTGACACACAGCAGCCACAATAGCACTTTATAACTGATATATGCTTATGTTTTATTTATTTTTTCCTTTTTATTTGAAATATTCCCAAATGTGTTCATAACATAAAATATCTCGATTCTCAAATATGTGTAAGTAAATGCATTTTGCATCTTTATAGATTGTCTTAGTTGAGCTATAATGGGCGATGGGCAAAGTAGCCTAATAGTGTAATCTATTAACTACGCATAAAACCCTGTCTTTTTACTTAAATAGCAGATATGGGTGTCATGCCATACATTTTTTTTTTTAATACGACTGACTTTGTATTTAATGTGAATTGAATAAAAACATTGTAAGTTAATTATAACACTTTCATTGTACAGAAAGAGAACAAAGAACATTTACATTAGCCTATCAAAAAACATTATTACTGACTTCACAAAAAACATTATCACTGACTTCAGTCTAGCCAGAGTTCAAGCAATCTCAAAAACTGCCATTAAAATCACTGAAGCTGTTTACATTGTGAAATTAATATCTTACTCACATTCGCACGCACATCTGCACTTTGTTGTTTCTGATGAGAGAGCAGAATTTAGTCGGCGAACACACGCATGGTTTTAATGCGCAGCGCTGTAAAAACGCGTCTGTCTCTGGTTCTGCGCCAGTCAGCGGACGCAGATTTGAATTTAGCACCTAGTGATGATTTACTTATTTCCATTATTGCCACCCACAGGACAAACTGCGCATTGAACCCAAAGCTTGTTGACACTGCCTCTCCCCCCCAGAACTGCCCCTGAGGAAAAGTGGAATGGAGTATTTCTCTTTTGATGTTTTATCTTTTAAGATTTTGCCCATTTCAATTCTTTGATCTGTTGCATGTTTTCTTACCTGATCTAGAAATGTGTTGTTTACTGCAGCTGTGTCAAAACTGGAGGTTAATTTCATCCTCAGAAAAACTTTTTTCCTATAAACTGCAAAAATGCAAAACATCAACCACAGAAATAAACAAATGTTTGTTTGTTTTTTGATCGATTTTTAATCAATCAATGAATCGATTAAATTTGTAATTTAAAAAATGAATAAAATCAGTGCAGATTCTATGTTGGCCACTTGTGGTACGGCGGTCACGTGAGCAAAATTTTGGCAAAAAATGTCCATCGTCAGACTCAGTACTGTAGCGACATATGAAGCACAGCTCACTCACATACAGTATAAGCAGTGTTGGGCAAGTTACTCTGAAAATGTAATCAAATTACTGATTACTGATTACTGATTACTACTTTTAAAAGTAATCACATTACTGTTCTGATTACTTTATTTCAAAAGTAATTAGAAATTAGTTACATTACTAGTTACGTTACTTTTTTCTCAGTGAAATTTATGAAATCCCAGCATACACGCCCCCGATAAATATTTGTTATTAAAGCACCAACATTCACAGAACACTGTTAATTATTTTTAACTAAAGCAAGCAGCTGCTGCGTGCATGGTTTGGCATGACAGAATGCCAGCGCTGCATTTATAATCTCAGTTCATCGCAATCTCACAAATCTCTGTTATAACACAATAAATATATGCATAATTAATCTTTCATAATGTCTACAATTAATTTTTTTGCGGTAGTACAATCTCTAGATTATAAAACACTGCATTCTGTCAGCAATATAACGAGGCAGTAACGTATAGAGACCTCGGCTTGTAGCTATACTCTAATTACTATTTTGAAAATTATAACGCGTTAAATTACTCCATTACTAAAAAAGTAATCAATTTACAGTAACGCGTTACTAAGTAATGCGTTACTGCCCAACACTGCATATAAGTCACTTTGAAACCAATCAGCTATCTGCATGAGGGCTAAAAAATTCCCAACGCAGATTTCACTGCATTTTCAAGTTGATCATGCAAATTCGACCAACAGAAAGATGCTGGGCTTGAAAGTGACACCTTTGTGAGCTGTGCTTCGTACATCTCTATGCTATTGACAATGGACCTATTTTTTTCCACGTGAAATTTCACTAATGTGACCGCACTTTAACATTCTAGAATGAGGTGTCAGAAATTACCTGTTTCATAAACCTGCACCTCACACAGCGTGAGATGCATCCGGATGTTAGGAGTGTACATGTTCACATAACGACCTTCCATTCCGCCGCAAGAGAAACTGACAGTACTGCCTGCTGGGACAGGTGAAGTGACGACAGCACATCTGCAGAGAGAAAGAGAGAAACCACGACACAATCAGGTGACCTGCAAATCCGGTTCTCCTGACACGTTCATAACTGTTTTCGTAACTTCACCTGGGATTGTTGTTGCCGTTGTTTTCCAGAGAGTTTCCGATGCGGATCTCTACTCCAGTCGTTTGCTCCAGACAGCAGTCGGCTCTGTTGGTGATGGTCACTTTGTAAATGTAGTAATAATCCAGCAGGTCCAGCCTCCACCACGGGCTGAGCTCATATGATGTGATGGAGCAGTATGTATGGGCTGTACCTGGAGCATATCTGATGCCGTCGATGGCCTTTGCAGCTCCACAGCTGTAATATGTGGTCGACTGTACAGCTGTTCCTTTTAATGCCAAATTCTCTAAAAACATTTAAAGAGACAGAGATTCAAGACTCAAATGTGTGAAGTTTCAGTACATTCCATGTGGGTTAAAATATTAAATTCCAATCCAAAACACTCAATTCCATTTACTACTACATTAAAATCCGAAGTTAATATTTTTAATGGATCTGCGCTTACATGAACTAACTACGAGCAGTTGTATTTTATTAACCAACATTGACAAAGATTAATAAATACTATAAGTTGTGTATTGGTTAATGTTAGTTAATGCATGTTAACTAATGGGACCTTAGTTACTACTTTTTACCTTCCAAGTTTTCTGAACTCCCCTGAATGGAAAAGACACCTGTTACAAAAACAAAACATTTCCATTGCTTTCTGGTCTGTCGATCAACTTTGTGTTGCATTTGATTCTTTAAAAATGTTCATAAAGAATAGCTAAACGGCATCTATAATTGTACATCATTTGATTGATGCGTGTCATTTTTACTCACCCAAAAGTAAGAACAGATAAGAGAGCCCCTCCATCTTGTGTTTTAAAGACCATAAACCAGATACCTGTGATGGTCTGATATGACAAGGGCATCCATCCCTCCTTTTATTTGTGTTTCTCTTAGCAGCTCGTTTCTCCACCCTTAGGAAATTCTCACTGACAGCTTGCTGAATATATTTCACACATCATAAGACCTCCAGAATTGCTTTTCTCAGCACACCTCTCAGGTCAAGTTGGATTTACTAAACAAATCTGGCAAAATGGAAATGAAGATGAGGACTTTTAAGATTTTTTTTCCTGGCACCAAAAAATTTAATAAAAATAAATGACTGGTACTTAAGGTTCATTTTTCATACAGTTTTTCTTCATCTAAATGAATAATATAAAACTTAAAGAAAACATCATCATGCCTGGAAAGTTTCACCTCTCCATGAGTTTCATTATTAGTATTAGTTCAGAATAAGATCAGCTCCTAAAAGGAATAATCTAAAATAAGTTGATTCAACATAACCATATTGTGTTTGTTGGGCACTTTTCTTCTTGAGCATCGTTTATCATTCGAGTAGTTTATTCTGAATGAGAAAAAACGATTGTTGTAAAGTATCATACAATCAATATGCGGAACATCCGAATAAAAGCAATGAGATAAATAGACGAGAAAATCATGTGCAATAAAGAAGACATTCAAAATAAGGATGCATGTTTAAAAAAATAAGGAACATTTTTAATTTTATTTATCATTGTTAGCTTGACATGGACATTAAATTATGCAATGTGGAGGGAAATTATTTTTGAAAAAGTATTCCCACAAGGTCAAACATTTCAGGTTTTACAATTCTTGTAGGAACATTTTTTTTTTAAATAATTCCGTAAAAAGCTAATTTGTTGCAGCTTTAGCTTGTAAGTCATTTAGTGTGATGATTAAAATACCCTGATAAATTGTTAATGAACAGAAATTTTCAGCTGATTACAACATTTCTTAAATTCTGTGATGTTTACAGATTTATTCTGTCTTGAATGTTTGTTTATCAGACACTAGATTATCAACAACAACAAATGAACAAATGACAGTGTAGACAATGTGATCAACATTTGTTTACACTAACCAGTATTCTCCTTCCAATGTATGTCCACTTTAAACCCCTTTTTATTGCTTTGTCAGGTTGTCAGGTCTCTGGTGGAAAATTGTTTAATCATTGAAGATGCACTGAAAAAAAATTGATTTCTAAGGTAAACTCAATATTTTCACTGATCTGACATTGTATAGAATGAGGTAAAACTGAATAGAAATGCATTACAATTTGGACGGGCCGATGGAAATTCTCGTAACTATGCAAATCACCAGGAACATAGTGTGAAAGTACAGCTGTAGAAAGTTGCTTTTGTTCTTCGTCCAGTGATGAAATCTGGATTAAAACAAATGCTTTAAATCTCTCCATGTACTGTTTGCTAATTATAGCAGCTCCAGATGAACCCACAGACCTTTAGTTCATGTATCCTGATTTCCACTCCATCAGTCTGATCGCTGATCATTTCCATGTTGTTTTGTGTGTATTTGAATTATCTCAGGCAGGATGTAAATCTGGAGCTTCACAGGAGTCCATCATCTGCTCAAACCTCAAACAAAGAGCCGTCACTTCATACAAATCTCAGACTGTTCACACTTTTGGCCGTTTTGCCTCAAACTCAGACATAAGCACCACTGTAAGCTATTAGTGTTCAGAAAGACACTTTTTTTGTGACATGGATAAGCTGGAATGTTTTCCTTCAACAATATTTTCCTCCACATAGCTGACATCTTCTTTTGTGAGGTCAATCACCCAACATTCAAAATATGTTTAGGCTTAAATTGAAAATGTATGTATACGGATTTAACAAACAAACTAATAAACTTTTCATTTTTAGTTTTGCCCATATTCCACAAGTTGGTATGATTCTTCATGAAATGTCTGCAACATACTTTGATAAAAATTCCTCAATGGCCGTGTAAATCTTTTTTACCTTGTCAAAAACAGCTCTGTTTACAGAGTTAAAATGTATGAGACTGAAACAAAATATTTTATCAAAGTTAGTACTATTAAAGAAATCTGATCTGTTTCATTTACTGTATGTATGACTGACAAATATGCCTCACATTAAGTTTATTAAACTGTCTAATCCAAATGGATGGACATTTTATATGCAATTCATTACATAAATCTTAAGTGCATTTTTATTCAAATTTGATTGGTTTTCATTGTTTTGTTAATTCGTATAACCTAAAGGCATCATAAAGCAGTGGTTCATACATGATTTGGAGCAAGGCCGTGCAGAGACCATTGAAGGGGCAGGTGCTCAAAGTATAAAAGGGGCACATGAAGCACAGCTTTTAATAGGGCTGTGCTCCTTGCTGACACATGTAAATCAGAAACTGATGCTTCTGTATAAATAGCAGCAAATGCCATGACAGTTTTGAAAAAGAAACACAAAACAGAAAAGACCATTTTAAGTTTAAAAGTAAGCACCTCTTAATCACTCTGGAATTAGAAACGGAATTATATTATTATTATTAGTAGTAGTAGTAGTAGTAGTAGTATTGAGTTTACAGGGTATGGTGGTTTTGCTGTTGTAAACATTACTTTTGTTGTTGTTGTAGAAAAAAAAATTGTCTTATTTAAAATAGAATTATATTCTAATCCTGTTCTGAATTCATTCATTTTTTGAATGATAATGATCATAAAAACAGGATTGATAAGTATAATTCGGAGGATGAGAAAATCAGTATAAGCCTGTTTTACCAGTGTTGTGATAATTATTTTTAAGGTAATAATAAGGTAATTTTTAAGTAATAGTTTTTAGTCAGATAACATAAAGACAAGAGCCCTCGGCGCGCTTTAAACTTTTCTCAATCAAACAGCAAGAACGAAAGAGAACAGGCACCTTTGTTTACATTGCTGTGTGTAGAACGTTAGCTGCATTATATTTAATAAATATTTAATTTTAATGAAATGTAAATTCGTCCCCAACACTTTATTCGGACAGGTGTGTTCATGTAGAGGTTTCTAGATTTAAATCTAGATTTAAATTCAAAGAGACAGTAGGCTACTGATAGTCTATGCATGACCTGACGTTTATTCACATCCAAAATGAGGAGATGTGAATATCAGGAGCGCTGAACACTTTCATACGGTGTCTGTTTCATTCATACTGGAAGCCGGAGGGCGCTCTCACGCAGAAAGTCCAAAACAGACTCGTAGAAGTAATAACTTATAGAGACAGAGCGACACACTTCATAATCTGAAAACCACGCCCACCGGGGGAAAACAATCCAACGCTCTCCATTGACTTTGTATTGCGGGAAGCTGCCTCCTTGTCATTTCTGACTTATAACAAAAAACAGAACAATGTCTAAAATCTGCTATGTGACAAGGTGTACAGTAAACATGCTAAAAAACCCAGAACTACGTTTTTATAAGCTGTTGACCCAAAAAACGAGTGTTTAAGGACACAAAAGTAGAGCACAATGTGTCATATTACTCTGAGCACTGCGTCCACTGGAGGAAAACGTAATCGGCGACAGGAAACATAGATATGGATGCCTGTATTCAAGATGGCGCCTGTGTGTTTGGCTGGCCGTCTGCTGCTCTCTTGTTTATTTGTATGGATGTTTGCCTGGCTTCCTAATTGCTGCACACTCCTGGTTTATGACCGACAGTCTCTCCTGGACATTCGTACCTCTTTAATCGACATTTGTAACATTTGTAAGCCGGACGTGCAACACGTTTTTAACCAAGCGCACGGGAGTTTTCCAACGGACATCCCGGAGTGTATTCGCCAGTGGCCTCTCAACATAAAACGGAGAAAACGCAGGAGAAAACGCGGCAGCCGGGGAGGATTTCTTATCAAACTGAAAGCACATCTTCAGGCTGGTTTCTCGCTGAAGCCTTCCCCTGTGTCGTTTAATGGTGGCTTTGTTGCCTGGCGACCTGTTCTTCCCCTGTGCCCGTCTCCTGTCTCCCGGGATGGCTTCCCTCGGATTGGCCTTTGTCGTTGACGAAATGGCGTGATTCCTGGTAATCTGCGCTCACTGAGAAGAGCTTCGTTCTCTCTGGATGTTATCCCTCCACCCAAAATGGCTCTGATCAATGCTCGATCTTTGGTGAACAAGACCTTCTTGTTAAATGACTTCTTCTCCTCTCATAGTCTGGATTTTATGTTTATCACCGAATCCTGGACAAAGGTTGGTGACTTAACCCCTTTCTCTGAACTAGTTCCAACTGACTGTACATTTTTTAACTCTCCCCGTCCAAACAGACGAGGGGGTGGATTAGTCACTATTTTAAAAAGCTCATTCCTTGTGCGGTGCCGGTCAGTTCCTGTAAGAGTATTTACCAGCTTTGAAGCTCAGCTTTTACATCTTGACTGGAATGGCCCTGTTTTGTTAGGGGTGATTTATCGTCCTCCTCACTCAATCAAGGAATTCATACAACAATTCACTGAATTTATTGGTAACATCGCCACAAACTATGACCGTTTTTTATTGGTGGGCGATTTTAACATCCACATATGCTGTCAGTCCAACCAATATTATCCTCCTTATCCAAGGAGTTCCTCAGCCTTATTGAGTCGTTTAGCCTGGTCCAGTGGATAAAAGACTCCACTCACATCCAGGGACATACCTTGGACCTAGTACTCTCTCGTGGGTTTGCGATTAGCGATATTGTTGTATCTGACTATATACTTTCAGATCATTGGGGTGTCTTTTCATTTTTACGCCGACGATACCCAAATTTATCTACCTATCAAGAGACATGATCCCTCTGCTTTTACTTCTTTAATAAAATGCTTAGATGAAGTTACATTTTGGCTAGCCCAAAATGTTCTATCCTTAAATGAGGATAAGACTGAGGTGATTGTTTTTGGGCCATCTGATAATTCTAAGGCAACCAGCTTAGATATGGGTAGTTTATCAGTGTTTAGATCTTCACGTGTACGGAACCTGGGAGTTTTGTTAGATGAGTCCTTAAAGGTCCCATGAAAATCTTTAGAGATGGCTGTTCATGCTTTTATCACCTCACGCT